CAGCCGGTGAAGCAACATCTTCCACAACTAGACTGAAGAACAAAAGGACAGTAACTTGTCTGTTCCCCTTCCCTGATTCCCCAACGCTGTTCCCCTCCCCCAACTCTCCAATAAAATCTTAAAAAAAAAAAAGAAAATGCAGATTCCTGGGTCCCATACCAGACTCATTAAATCAGAGCCTGGGAATGGGACCCAGGGTCTGCTGTAAAGAGACTGCAACATCAGTGCAGTCCTTGGAGTCAGACATTTTTGTCTTAAATATTGTACATTTTGAGAATCAGTGATAGAGGCTAGCCTGAGCTTCTTCCAATTTGTTACTCCCATGTGAAGAGGGTGTTGGGGCTTACCATTTTTCTTTAGTGTCCTGGATGTCAGCTCTTGACCTCTTTTGAACAGCCACTCCAACAGGAAATCACATTTCCAAAAAGGTCTGTAACCATCCAGGTAAAGGCAGTCCAATTCCTCACATAGGGGAGGAGCATTTCCTCTCAGGAATCATGATCTGGGGGACACCGCTCTGCCTACACCTGGGCCCCCTTGTACTCAATCACAGAGAACAATAAGGGTACTTAGGGCCTTAGCTTTCCAAACATCTTCATTTCATAGATTTGCAAACTAGTTACAGGTTTTGCTTTTCATTTGCATAGCCAAATGGTTGGCTCAAGTGGTTTCACTAGGACACAGAGTAGTGGGGACCAGCATTACAGACAAGAGACTGTGGGCCTCTGGGAGGGTGGCTTTGTCATGTATAAGGATAATTACACCCAGACCAAAGGTGTAAATGGGAGGGGACCTGGGCAAACACGCTAATGGGCCAGACATGGTGGTTTTGTTCTTTTGTTTTTTGCTTGTCGTTGTGTTTTTTTTAAAAAATGAGTCAACGCTTTAAAACCAACATTTCAAATACAAATCCAGATTCCTGGCTCTTCTAGAAAAATTCAGAAGATTGATACTACCAGGGTTGCCTCCTCCTGCACAGCGGCCAAGTCACTGAAACAAGAAACAGCTGCCCTTTAAGCTGAGATGCCTCTACACAGACCACCCCATCCCCATGCCCCACGGTGTCCCCACAAGGCCAGTATCCTTGGGAAATCCTTATGCTGTTTCCTTGTACTAGTTTAGTGCCACCAGCATGCCCTGTCCTGAGTCTGTGACCTTGGGGATGAAGGGGGGGGCCCTGGCCCACAGGGAGGAGAATTCAGGTCTCCCCTCCTAAGCCAGAACCTTGGCTCCCAGCCAGGACTGGGGTACCTGATCATGCTTTGCTATGAAATGTTCAAGCCATTTGGGAAGAACATTTCTCCATGCTTTATGCCAGTGACCTGGTCTAGCATTTCCTTGTCTTTCCTCTGAATTTGGCCAACTGTGTGTCTTCTGGAAGCGTGGCACCCACACACTGTGCATACATTGTCACCTGAGGTGTTCTCCCCTTGGTGCCCACAAAGCCCACAAGCTGGGCTGAATGTCTGACACAGGTGAATTTGAGTGCCCAGTCCCAGTATTACTTCGCCTAGGATATATGTCCATGGGCGGAGCCTTTGTTTCCGAGGGTATGTAGTGTCCTTTGGGGTTCTCTCATCCCCCCACGGCTCACATGTCCCAGCAGCTTACCTTGGGAACTGATGTTTTAACACAGTTCTCATATATATGGGCTTGTTACAGTACTGTTTGTCAATGGTTTTAAAGGTGAACCCACCAAGAGTGCAAGTACAGCCACAGAGGGCCCAGGCAGTAAGCCCAGGGAGGCCCCTTAAAATCTCCATGCTTTCAAAATTTTAAAACTTAATGAAAAATGCTGAGAGATTCCAAATTTCATCCGAAAACTAATGAGAGTTATTCTAAAAAGACACTTTCTTTGAATGTTCTATTGTAATAACAATAAAATTGGCATCTTACAATACTTAAAATGTGATTTAATTAAGTGGCAGTTTAAAAGCATTAAAAGATCTCACTTATGTGTGGAATCTAGAAAACTGAATGAACGAGCAAAGAAAACAGAAATAGTCTCAGAGATATAGAGGAAAAACTGATGGTTGCTAGGTGGGAGGGGCTGGGGATGAGGGAGAAGGGGAAGGGTTTGGACAGCATAAATACGTAACTACAATATTGCCACAGGGATATGAAAGACAGTTTGGGGAATATAATTAATAATGTTGTGTGTCTTGCTAGGGAGACCGCATCATGGATGGGGTAGAGGCTTGATCACTGCACTGTACACCTGAAGCTGATATTGTATAATACTGTATGTCAATTATAATTGAATATAGATATATAGTCACAGGATGTGGAGTATAGTGTGGGAGTGGAGTCAATGGAATTGTAATAGATATGTATGATATCGGGGGCGGGGGGGTGGAGTGGGGTTGCAGGTTGGGGGAAGAGGGTTGTCACTTTGAGGCTTAAAAAGTATAATTATTGCACTGTGTTGTACAGCTAAAACTAATTTAAAAATAAATAAATAAATAAAAGTTAAAAATTAAAAAAACAAAGCATACAAGCAAACAAAAAACAAAGGTTAAAAAGCACGCAAATGTCTGTCTCGTTGAAGCTCGGAGCACTTGTGCCCTCAGTCGGGAGCTAGCCGTGTTTCCTGTTTCTCTGTAGGGAGACGCATGCAAGAAGACACAGGACAGAGGGAGGCAGAGGAGGAGGAGGAGGGCACATTTCAGACTCACAAAATGATTACATTTCCAAAGATAACACTTTCTTAAACAATGACAGAAAAGGGGTAGGTCATATGGACAGATGACCTCTATGTCAAATTCTTGATTTTATTTTAAATGTTTACTTGAGAAGTACCTCCCTAACCTCCTCCCCACCCCTCACCCCCACCCCACTACACACACATGCAAAGTAACAATTGATTCCACCACTGAAAGCATTTGCAATATGGAAGCCACCATAGTCCTTAGGCCTCCTCCCTCCACTACCCCACCCACTTCTCCAAGCCTCCACCCAGAGGAAACTCTGTGGCCGTTTCTAGTAATGTTGACTCATGTGTCATTTAACTCTTATCTAAGCTGGAACACAGTGCCCTGAGCACAGGCATCTCCCAGAAGCTTTATGCACTTGGATTTTGCTTAGAATCCGTGTGCAATCTTGTCACACCTTGTCTTTCCACTCTGGTCATGGCGGCAGGAGAGCAGGTCCTGGTGGAGGTGGGGGGATGCTCTGAGGGCACAAATACAGGCTGAGAAGGGTGGTTGGAGCTGAAGTTACCCCACCAAATGCAGGCAAGAAAGCCTGCAATTTTATTTCTTAGAAAAAGTTTGAGCAGTGAAAATAAGAATCACTGTTCAAGGAGGAAGATTTAAGATAACATGCTTAGACAGTAAACAAATATTTTAGTCCCATGGGAAGAAGCTCAACACAAAAATGGCAAGTTTAAAAAACATATCTAATTGGGTACATACAGCATGATCCCAAATTGGTGAAATCAATTACTATGTATGTCTATCTCTTTACGAATATTCAGACATAAATAGAAGAAGCCCAAATAGAAATATACCAAAATGTTATCAAATTTGTTACTTTACTCTTACCTCAATTTTTCTGTTTTACTTTAATGAAAATGTATTTCTCTTGTAGGAGAATGTTTATATGAAAAAAAGATAGAATGCTACATCCGTAATAACTTACTGCTCTTGGAGAAAAGGGGACTAAATCTAGGGTACTAAAGATGTATAAAAACTGGCACCACACACCAGGAGGAAGAATTTTTTTTAGCCTCAGATTCTTGGTAAGAATGACTAAATATTTCCAAAGAGTCGTAAGTGATTCATAATCTCTAAACGAAATTGATAAGTGAAGTTTAGGCTGAAAATGAAAAACCCCTATTTCACCACATGCAAGAAAGAATTTGTGTAAGTGGTTTCAATGAGTCCTGGACACATTTCAGGTTGTGGGGTGCAGGAGGGTCTGAGACTTCCTGCGGGAATGGAAAGGATAGCTCCCAGGTGCCATGATGCCACGGGGAGCAGGGGCACCTCTGAGGGGCATGAATTCAGAGCCAGCAGCTACCTTGTGGAGGCTCTGAAAGCCCTTCTGTCAACACAAGCCCAGCATCTTCTGTGTAGAAATCCATCTTTCTTCTCAAAGGTGTGATGCCTTCTTACCACGACCTCACATTTAACATCATTAGATCTGTATCTGCATTGCTCCCATTTTTTTTACTGTAGAGTAAGAATATATACTACAGTTTGGTGCATGGAACTGAAAGTAAAAAGAACGTCATTTTGACATGGCTGATTTTTACACTGACCATAACTAAAATCCTTCCTTAACTCCATGGGGCTGCCTTTTCCTCCGGACGGACAAGCAAGCCACTTCACCCTTCTGTCCTAGCCTCTTTTGGGCCCTCTTCAGAACAGCCTATTGGACTGGCTAATGCAAAAGAAGGCAGATAATTTTCTTGTTTTAAAGGAGAATAACTGAAGGTTTGATTTTAAATAATTGTCTATTAGCATTTTAAATATTGGGAGCAAGAAATCAACCTGTAGGATTAGCAAGCTTTCCAAATACTGATATTAACTTTTGATTCAGATTTTCAAAGGCCACTATTCTCTCTTTCACCCACCCTCTCCTGCCCATCTTTAATTTTACCTGTTCCTAGCTCTTCACGAAGTATAGAATGGAATCTCAGATGCTTCTGGCAACTATGGATTATTAGTAAGAGATGGAGCTTTGTTATTATATTGCATTTTATTATTTCCTTCAGCTCAACATTTTATTATTTCCTTCAGCTCAACTTGATATTGGAGGACTCTCCCTGTGGGTTGAGATTGAGAGATACTGCAAATGATGTCACTTTATTTTGTTGTGGGTCCTGTTTCCTTGCAGCCGGGTGAGAAAACTTATGCTGTGAGGATAGCTTGGTGTTTCCTTGTTCTGATAGGTAGAGCCCAGCATCCATGGCCCAAATGATTTCTTTTGTTTGCGTCACAGAATGGCAGAGGCAGCTGCTGCTCTGTTGATTTGACATGCTTGTTTCCACGGGGAGATCAGTAGGCATTTAGTACGGCTAACCTGGCCTCTTGGCACAGAGGGTCTAGTTTGCCATCACCTCCTAGGGAAATAGATACAATTTTCTTGTGGCCAGCTATATGTACAATTTAATGCCATATAAGACATACATAAGACTTCCACTGGGAGGGTATTTTCAAAGTGCACAGGCATGTTAATGGCTAACTAGCTTTTAATAGAGTATTAGTGGATTGCAAAATATTTTACTTCTGAGCAGAGTGAGATAAACCCAATGCCAACCTGCCAGGCAGAAGCTCTCCATGGCAAAGAAATCCTTACACATTGCTGGTAATGCCATGCATTGCTGATATGTCAACTCTGTCTCAACAAGCCTAGCTAGAATAATCAAATGAAACAAAAGCTGTTTTGAAGGCAACTAATAATGAAACACACATTATTAAAACTCACCCCCCCCCAAAAAAAAACAACAACAACCCATCACCTCTAAATTTCCATCATATCATTTGAAGCGGAGCGAAAATAACACTTTCTTTGTGTCCCTCTCCTGTTTCCAGTGTTCTGGGAAGAAGCCATCAAGCACTTCTACTGTGTGTGGTTTAGGATGTTCTCATTCACATGCCATAGAGCACAGGGCTTTGAGTAAAAATTTAAGATTCAGAAAGAAATCCATTTTGAATTTTGACATGACACACTGATCACTTCAACTAGAAACTGAGGATGCTTCAGGGAAGACAAAATGCTGGTTGAAAGGATTTACCAAACTCCAGGTCTTTGATGTTACAGTGGAAGACAACATCTTCATTCACCTTGAGTTCTACCACATCCCAGTCTTCTATCTTCTCTAGAATTACCTTGTGTCCATCTTCAGCCAGCACAGCTGGAAAAGATGGAGAGGGAAGTGGGTGACAGGGGACAGACTCCAGGTTAACCTGATACACAGATGTACTCATGGAGAACAGCAGGTGGTCTGCTCTCCAGTTGTTCATGGCTGTAACTCAGTTGTCCTGGTTGACACTTCCCTGGTGCTGGCCCCAAGGTGCCCTTACCTGTGCTAAGAAGCACAGCCAGAGACCTGAGCATTCCAGGATGGGTTGCAATTTGCCCCAGACCCATGTGATCTGTGAAAATATGAGCTTTATTTAGGAAGAGTTTTTGAGCTTTTTTTATAGAGACAATACTCAGTGTTTGGAGGGGATTTGTGGAATTAGGTAATTTCTTACCCTGCTGATGGAAGTATAAACTGATCACCTTTCTGCAGGGCATTTTGGCAGTACATGCCAAAAACCTTTAAAGCCTCAAAAAAATCAGAATTAAAAAATGGTTCTAGTCTCTGGCCCAGGAAATTGCGCTTATAAGAAAGTTTCCTAAGGAAAAAAGCAGAAATACAGGCAGATTTTTGCAACAAAATATTTCATTCCGAAGTTTTGTAACAGCAAAGTAATGTGAATAACTACATGCCCAATAACAAGAGGATAGTCAAGTAAATAGTGATAAGCCCACACAATGAGATTTTATTCTGATATTTCAAAAATATTTATGAATTTTTTAATAGCAAGAAAAA